TGATAGCATGAAGAGCACCGTTGTACAAGTGTGGGACAAGGCAAGGAGGAAGACCTTCATGATCTGATAGGGATTGAACCCATGTTGTTGGCATCAGCCTGTGCCACACTCTAACTATCTAGCCAACTGAGCAAACTGAATCCCGGACCCTACTCTAAAGTCACCTTGAAGGTGTCGTGATAATCATAATTTTCAAGAAAAGAGGCAAGTTGCCATATAATTGCTACAATTCATAGCATTGCTCTTAACTACTGGCAGAGTATAAAATAGGTTACTTGTTAATAGCCGCTCACCAGTTGCAGTCTCCCAGTGTCGTTTCTGTTCCATTAGAGGAGCAACCGACATGAACCTTATTGCATGACGACATCAGGGAATGTGTAGAGAGCCAAACGTTCTTGCGTAAGTTGCTTTCTTCCAGCTGAAATCTTTGACTCGGTAAATCAAGCTTCTGCTTAGAAGATGTGATTTACAGATGACCAACTAAGTTTACGAACACTGTCCTACTCATGCATGCTATGTAAGAAATTGTATGCAATGGATCATCTGGAGCCCTTTTTTTGTAAAAGCAGGCTTTCAACCCTGGTGTGTCACTCCAACACTATGGCCAATGCTGTAATTTTGTATTGGCAAGCTTCCACCACCTGTTGTGGTAATAACCTCAACCAGCTGAAGGCCAAAACTAAGGCAGCAACCACCTCTGTAATAGAACTATGATGTGCTCATCATGCACAAGTTGTTACTTCCTCCTGAAGAAGAATGGAATCAGATAATTAACATTCTGCAAAGACTGAAACTAAATGGGACTGACCCATAGCACCAAAAAAACCAAAGCCATTTGCCAAAGCATAACAAATGGATCAACTCCAATGCTTTCATTTGATATGATGAAGTATTGGAAAAATGACCTTTTTTATTTTCCTGACAATCTTTTTTTGATTTACTGGTATACCTCTTCAATGTGCCAGTTCCATTTATGGTACATGTATTTGAGTTTTCAGCAATTATGGCTTTTACTGAGCAGTTGCTTCCCTTCCTCTCTTCCACCCTGCCATTTCTCTATGGTACTGAAGCTCGGGCAACATATGGATCCCTATCAAGGCTCTTTAATAACATTCTCAATGCTGTATTTAGAAAGATGTTGTGAAACCAAATGAGAGAATGACAGCAATATGAACATCTCCCAAAACACAAGTACAAAAGCTGAGAAGAATAGGACATATCGGAATCCTGACTTGGAAATATCTTGCTGTTGCTCTGTGTCACTGGGATTCCTTCCTGACTGTTGGCATTGGTCTACCTGCAGCACATGAACGATAGTGGTTCAAGAATACAGCTCAGAACCTTCTCCAAGGCAACTAGGGGTGGGCAATAAATGCTGGCACAGCCAACAGGGCTGACATCCCATGAGTAAATTAGGAAAATAAAAACCCCAATTCCTCAAGGCTATCCAAAGACTTCTCTTTGGCTCTTCCAGGAAGCCCATTCACATGGGGTTTTGCATAGTTCCCAATCTCAAAGCCACCAGAAAAGTCTGCTGTATTAATGCCAACACCGGAAGCAGTTACCTAATTGTGACTAAAATGCCAATAAATCATCAGAAATGGTGTTAATGCTTTGTGAAAGAGATGAGGCACCTGCTCAAACTAACCATTTGCCACCATTCTCTATGGATGGACAATCAATGTCCTCTGTGTGACAGCCTGGAAGGCTAAGGTAGGGCTCGTAAACAATCCATTAAGGAGGCTAATACTGTGCACAATATTATTAACTTATTAGGGAGTAATGCATTGCATTGTAACTGCAGCTCTGCAGAAAGGGCTAAGAAAATTCTGCTGAAGAGTAGTACTGTTACTCCACTGAACACACTTGGAGTGAATTTCTCCCAAGATCTCCTTAACTTTGAAAACTCCATTTAGGAAGATGTCTCTGTAATTTAATCTCATGGGGATTTCCCGGGGTGGTGATTGTCACAACACTTGCCATTTAGGCAACAGATTCTTTTTAACCTTGCTTCGGACATTATGCTCAGGATGAGAGAGAAATATTTTTCCCAGGTTTAAATTATTGTGTTTATTTTTTGAGGACTGAAGGCACCAGCTATGATGATTACATGGAAAGGTGAGGTTAAATGACTTCACGTGTCCGAGTTGGAGAGTTTAGAATAAACGTGGAGCACAAAGTTACAGTATAGGCACATGCCTGTGGCTTGGTTGGTAACACTTGCTCTTTAATCACAAAGGAAAGTGCCACGCCAAGATTTGAGTGCACAAAAGGAACCAGGCTAATATTCCAGTGCAGTACTGAGAGTTGAGATGCTGTCTTTCAGATGAGGTAGTAAACAAAGGCCCCATCATAATGTTTCAAGTGGATGCTCTCACGACACACAATTTGGAAGAACAGCTGGGAATTTATCTCAACTGTTCAGATTATCTTGTCATTATCACATTTTCTTTTAAGACAAGCATGTTGGTTCGATTTAGATTTTATTGTCACGTACTGAAGTACAGGTGTACAGTCAAAAGTGTACATTGTTGTCACACATAGGTACCCAAGATGGTGCTAAGTACAAAAAAAAACTTACTTACAAAGTAGTAAGAGAAACGAGAGTTTAAAAGTTGAGTATTACTCCAGAGAAAAGCAGAAAAATGAAGAAATAAGGTAATAGTTATCATTTCATAGTTTAAGCTAGGAAAATAAAGGAATAAGTTAAAAGTTCAACAGGCTTTGAGTCCTCCACTTAACTTGCTCTATTTGTTCTGGCTGCTGCTGACACTGTCACTGCTGCAGAAACTGCCGTCTCTCCGATCTCCCCTGGTACCTCAGGAGTATGCCCGGGCAGGATCCACTCACGCCAAGCCGCAATACTGCCGTGAGCCGCCGAGAGACTAGGCTGGGACATGCTTGGAGTGGCCGGGAGTTGGAATATGGATTATATTGTTTGTGGAGCCAGCACAATTGAAGCAGAAACAAAAGTGAAAACCTTCTTTTTTAAATTAACTGATTCAGCTCTGCTCTCAACAGTGTGTCTTCACCTCAAACCTAAATGAGCATCTTCCGCAGCATCCTATTTCTAATGGTCTCTGAGTAAGATCAGTTACTTCATACTACATGGCTTACACGCATAAGGATTTTAAATGTATATCTGAAGCTAATTCATCCATGCCTTTATAAACAGGAAATGTTATGTTAAAATGAAAGTGGATGTTTGCTCCACCCTTTGTTAGTAGGACAAGGGATAGTTTGGCAAAGCAAGCATTTAAATTAGTGAGCACAGTGCACTGTAATTGAAGCGTTATGAATACCATAGAAACATTTCGTGATTGAATGGAGAAGAAAAACAAAAAAGTTGTCATTGGGGCTTAATTTTTCCTTCCCCAAAGGCAAAACTGAATTGCAGTAATTGTGATTCTCTTTATTGTGGCCTCTGACCGTACGGTTAGCAGACAGCATTCCTTTCTTGTCATAACTTGTTTGTTAATGCAGAACTAGAACACTTTGGAACTCTGGCATTGGCATGATGTACAAGATTGCTCGTACCAGCTGTTCAGAGGTCAGAGTTCAGACATTAATGTAACCACAGGTACATCCGCCTAGACACTAGCTCAGGAAGTTCCAGGCTTTTGGCCACAGACTATTGCTGGATATTGGCAGAAAGTAAGCTGTAAGAATGGTATGATTGGCCACTCTCTCGAGAACTTGACCGCATGCGTTGAGCTTTAGATGATAAAAATGGGAAGAGCTGAAAGTATGTAGCAACCTCTAGAAAAGCATTTTTGCATCCAGTATTGGCCTTAGAATGAATTTGGGTTGTGTTGCCATGCTTGGGTATTTGCATTGCAAGCGCTCTGAGGTGTGCACTGTTAGAAGTCTCCTCTTACAGACAAAATTGTTACCAGAGAGTGGTTGTAAAAGATCCCAAGGCACTATTTCAAAGGAAAGCAGGCAAGTACTCCTGAAAGCCATGACCAATATTTTGTCCCTTAACCAGCATAAGTACAACAGGTGATTTAGTCACTTACATTCCCATTGCTGTTTGTGGGATCTTGCTGTGCGTGAATTGGCTGCTGTGTTTCCTACATTACAACATCATCACTTTGAGAGAGGGTGGGTGTTGTGGAGGGAGGGGGTAAAAAAAGGTACTTCGTCAGCTAAAGAGCATTTCAGCATGTTTCACAGCTTTGATCCTATGTAAATGCTGGTTCTTTTCCTTGCCGTGGATGTCTTGTCTTCCTTCCCTTATTTATGTGATGAGTGCCTTGACCTCCCTCTATCCATCTTCTGCTTCTAGTGGCAGTTGCATTGTAAAACCCAGCAATAACGCTACTGAAAAACAAGGCTGTTTGATATATCAAGTCCCTTCTTGTGTCATCACTGAGATGCAATTGACGCATTGGAATAAATTTGGAATTAACTTATCATTTTTTGATTTCTGCAGATCAGTGACAATGAAAACGGTTATGACCCTGAGATGTTTTGTATCCCTAAACACTACGTAGAAGATCTGGAAAGAGTTTTCATTCCTCACGGCCTTATTATGGACCGGTAAGAAATAAGCCTTCATGCCTTTGCGTTGGGTGTCCTCCATTCGTTCTCTAGTTAATGTCCTGTGTTACAGTTTACTGTAGACTTTGTGATCTGAAACAGCATTTTTTAAAAATCTACTTGAATATGATTTGCCTCTTGTTTTGTTCGCAGGCGAAAGGTCAAGTTAAGAAGGCTAGTCAAACGCATAGGATCCTTGCGTTTTAGGAACAGAGACTTAGAATGCAAAAAAAACTATGAAAGTTGTGCAAAATATCTTAGAGATCACTGAGCCCCAGTTAGGTGATTGAGTTGTGTTTTTGCTAGTATGCTTTTAGAAAGGGTGTCAAAGCCTCAAAGGATATAATTAACGACACCAGAGAAGAGAACGTGAAGCTTGGACGTAAATATGAAATTGGTTGAATAGCAGAAAGTCGAGAGAAGTGACTCTCTTGTTCAACCTCTGGCTTGAGGGATGGCACTAATGGGATAACTGTTAACGATGTATCATATCAATCTTATGTGAATGACCCTAACTTGCAGGTCACCATCTCAAAATTTGCAAATGACATGAAACTTGAGAGAATTGTGAACTGTGAGGAGTAAAGTGACATAAAAGTACATAAAATGGAATGAGCAGATGAAGTTTTATGCAGATAGGTGTGAAGTGATGCATTTGGATAGGAAAATGAGACAGAATATTTAATAAAGGATAAAATTCTAAAGAGGGTGCAAGAGCAGAGGGATCTGGGTAGTAAAGTCACCATAGTTGCAGAGGACCATGTGGCCATGATAGGATTAGAGAGCGATGACTGGTGCTGGTTAAACCTGAGGGTCACCGTGCCTCAGGTGAAGGTGAGAGGCTGAGAAGGAGCGTCCTTCACAGTAACCTCAGCTGGTGCAGGAATTGAACCAACATTTTATGGCAATACTGTGCTTCACCAAACCAGCAGCCTGAGCTAACCAACAGATGCACAAAGAGCTGAAGGTGGCAAGTCAGGCTGAGAAAATTACAGGATGCTATGCTTTACAAACAAAAAGTAACAAGTCCAAAGCAAGGAAATTGTGATGTGCTTTCATAAAACACTGGTTTGGACTCTGAGTATTGTACTCAGAATTGGACACTACACTTCAGTAAGGATGTGAAGGCATGGGAGGGAGGGCCAGAAAGATTTTGGTAAATAGCTAAGTGACACTGGTTACATGGATTGATTTGGCAAAGCTAGAGCCGCTTTCTTTTAGAAAGAGATAGTTGAGGAGATTTGATTGACGTGCTCAAAATCATGAGCGATCTAACAAGTAGGTAGGGAGAAGATTTTCCAATTGGTGGAAAGATTCAGAACCTGAAGACATTAAATCAATATGTTTGACAACATAGGTGAAGTGAGAAAAAAAAAACATTGAAACATAGCGAGCAGTTAGAATCTGAAATGCCTTGCCTTAAGTGTTGGAGGCAGACTCCATTGCGAGTTTCAAATGAGAATCTGAAGAGAAAATTTTGCAAGGGTTTGGTGGCAAATGTAGAGGAGTGGGGCCAGTTAAGCAGTGTGTTACGAGGGTCTGACTCTGGGGCTAAATCAGAGCTGATCAGTGGTGCCCAAAGCTCTAAGGTGGCAATGCACTAGGGCCAAAGGCCAGAGTCAAGGGCAGCACCAGGGCTTGTGATTTCTGTCCTTGCTCCTAGCAGTCATCAGGAGCCAGCATTGACATGATCAGCTAAATGGTGTCCATCTACATCGTTATTATTCTGTGACTCTATTGTATGGCTGGATATTCCCCTTGGAGCAGAGAAAGGTATGTGATGATTTAATAGAAGTATTCACAACCACAAGCATTTTGATAGAGTAAGTAAGAATTTGATGCCATTGCCAGAAGGATTGATGACAAGAGGACACCAATACGTAGTAATCAGGAAACAACCTGAGGCGACATGAGAAATTGTTTTAAGCAGTGAGCTGTTATGATCTGGGACAGGATTACCTGAAAGGGTTGTTGAAGCCTCCAGAGTCAGGGACAGAAATCACTGACTGGGGATTCCAGCCTTTAACCTTTGACCTGATGACAGTGAGCCCCAGTTATTGAGCTTTAATTGCCCTGCTCTCCCAGACCCTGGTGGAAGCAGATTTAGTTGTAACTTCCAAAAAGGAATTTTATACATCCATCAAAACAAAATGGACAAGTCCACTTGGGTCCATAGGCCATCTGGATGTGTCTTTCAAAGAATTGATGTAAGGCCTCTATACTGCATGTATCTTTTTTCATTTCTGTGACTTTGCATGTGAATGTGCTGCTAATTGTTCATTGTTTAATAGTCTTTTTGTTTGGATTTTCTTCCTTTACCCTGACACCCAAGAGCATTTGCTGCTTTATAATGTTACTTATGGAGCTGTGTTGAGAATTGGCACCTTTCTAATTTGAATGCCAGCTGAAGTTTGCTTTGAAGTACGTGAAGAGCTATATCACCTCCCCCAGTACCAAACCAGCTGTGCCATTGAACAAATGAGTTCAGAAGTCCAATGTCTTAGACTTCAAAAAATAGATCAATAGTTTTCAGTGCTGAGGAGCTGTGGGAGGAACAGACCATAATTTATCAAAGACTTTAGGAGTCGGCGTTTTGCCAAATGATGGATTGTGTAGAGTGCTTTTCCTCCTGCTTTAAGAAAGAGAAAAAGCATAACCAAAAATTTTCCAAATCACAAAATTGTTGTTTACTTAAGTGTTGGGAAAAACTCAACAGTTCAGGAAGCTTTGTTGAAAAGAGAGACAGTTCATGGTTTTAGTTTGACAAGTGACCAGCAGGCAGCAAAGTGGGGGTGGAGGGGGGTTGCTTGGGGAGCACTGTAACTTGGTGTACAGTGCCACTGGCATTGTGCTCACCATTGGGCTGTACCATGCCCCCGCCATGATTTTGAGTGACATGGAGATTTTTTTTGGGGTGGGGGAGGGGGGTGTTAGGGGCCTCCATGTCAGGCAGATCATCCACCAGTGGCCCTGTTAAGGGCCTCATCCCAGTCTGATGTAATGGGCGATGGGGAGGGGTCTATGCTTGACTTGGAGCCTGGCAGATTTTAACCCTATGGACAGCTGGCCAGTTAGCTTGGATGTTGTCAGGTGAGTGTCTGCACCAGGTACCTGGTGTCAATTGGGGCTCCACCCCTCCGTTTTAGCTCCCTACATCCACGTGGCCCATTCAAGACATCCCCAGCCCCACCCCACCCAGTCCAACATGTACACTCTCTCTAACTTAGCCGTGGCTACCACTCCTGGTTCTTTTGATGTCCAATTCACAATAAGTCCTGTAGATGCATAGAAGTCCAGCTTTAAAGAATCATTTGAGGTTGTAGACTTGCTTGCCGAGCCGGTGTGTTTAGTTGCAAATGTTTTGTCACCCTGCTAGGTAACATTGTCAGTGCACCTCTGGTGAAGCGTTAGTGTTCAGTCCCGCTTGTTACTTATATGCCTTGGTTTGCTGGGGTGGTTGGCATTGTGTCCGGTTTTGTTTTAGTGGTTTGTATATCAGGTTTAGTTCAATGTGTTTGAAATGCTAGGCCTCCAGGAATTCCCTGACATGTCTCTGTTTGACTTGTATTGTTATGGATGTGTTGTCCCAGTCAAATTTGTGTCTTTCTTTGTCCACGTGAATTGAGACCAGTGAGAATGGGTAGTGTCTCTTGGTGGCCAGTTGGTGTTCATGTATCCTTTTATTGTCCGTTTTCTTCCAGTTTGGCCTAGTTAGTGTTTTTCACAGTCCTTGCATGGTATTTTGTATGTTACGTTAATTTTAGTGGCTGTGGGTATGGGGTCCTTTTTTATGAGCAAGAAATTGCACGCCAGAAGACTTTAAACTCCAACGCAACCGACCAAGAATGGACAACCACACTGGAACAAGCCATTACCATACAACAACAACAGACTAGCACACAGAAAAGAATAGGCCTACAAGAAAAACTATCCAAACTCCCCCACAACAATGACACGGATAACACAAAAACTTGGATCAAGAACATTGCAGACCGACCACTTGCAGACACTGAGAAGACAGTCCTCATACATGGACTGAATTATAACTACAGACACGCAAAAAACCTGACTTCCTGGCTGCACTGGAATCAACACTAAAAAAACAACGGACTCATGGAGGAAAGACCACAGGCCATCCGACTGGCAATAGTCCCAGCACTGAAGAGATAAGTGGAACATATTCAACACGAGAAGAAAGCCCTGGAAAGACTCCAGAAAGACACAAACATCGTAATCTTACTGGCGGACAAAGGGCACATGACAGTAATCCTTAATAGAGCCCAATACATTGAGAAAGCTAACTCTCTACTAGCAGACACTGGTACCTACCAACAGATGGCGATAGACCCAACGCCACAGTTAGAGAACCAGGTCAAAACAACCCTGAAGAAATTACACAACTTGGGAGAAGTCAGCAAGGTGGACTACCAAAAAATGAAGCCAGAGGAATCCAATACACCCTGCTCCTATGGACTCCCCAAGGTACACCAGCCAGAGATTCCCCCTCGGATCCATTGTCTCGCTACCAGTCATGCCAACATATAGACTTGCCAAAGAACTACAACGGAAACTGAAATACTTAGTGGACAACACTACCCAGTCCATCTACTCCTCTCAAGAATTCTTCAACATCATCAAGGACACCAGAATAGAAGAGGATGAGATAATATCCTACAACGTAACAGCACTATTTTATATATCCATAAACATCGACCTAGCCAAAGAGACAATTGCCACACTGCTGGATGAATCAGGAAGGCAGGCACCCCATGACACCAAAAGCATCAACAGGGACAGTGCCCTGAAACTGCTGGATCTGTGCCTCTGAACCCACTTCAGCTTCAACGACTGGTGTTTCGTTGCATATACAAATGAAACAATGACATCCCCAATATCAGGACTGATCGCAGAAGCGGTAATGCGAAGATTACAACGAACAGCGCTCCCCACTATACAACCAAAACTCTGGATCTGCTGTATAGATGACCTCTTCGTGATTA